GTGAGAGGCTGCAGGGGGGGCCTGGGTCCCCTACCAGCCTCTCTCATGGGCACAGGACTTAGCTGGGGGGCGGTGAATGTAAAGGGTGGGAGCCAGCTGAAGACCCTAGTGAAAGCAAACAGGTTGTTTCACGGAGGTTTCAATGCAGCAGCTCTCGGGGCTGGAGGGCCACGCCAGTGCCAACCCCCAGCTCCCTGCGGCCAGGGGCCCAGCACCAGAATGCCCCCAGCAGGGGGCACTAGAGCTGCAAGTGTGGCTGTGCCATGCTTGGCCACAAGGGGGCGCTGAGCAGCAAGTACCCTCCTCTACAGCCCCCTGGGGTGTTAACTGACAACCAGCAGGTAGCACTGCCCCCTGGGCGGGGCTTGTGGGCAGGGGTGTGGCTTGTGTGGTGCCACACCCCATTCTCCCTTGTGTTAGGCAGCTGGCATTGGCCAATTTCAGAAACACGTTCAAGGGCCGAGCCGCCCTCGCTCCGATTTTCACAGCCCCATCCCCCGGCGCCGGGGCCCGGCTGCCTCCCTGCCGGGGGGGCTACGTGCCTGGGCCCCCGCAGGTGGGCAGCTGAGCAGACACAGCCCCTGCCTGTACGAGGGCGCTGCAGGCACATGTGCGACAGCCTGTTCTGCACTGGCCCCCACCCAGCTGCCAAGGGGTTGCTGGGCTGGCTGTGGTCGGCGGGGAGGCAGCGGGCCCGTGGGGAGGATTTCCTGCAAAGGTGTCTGCTGCTTTCACATGTGAAAGGGGGAGAAGCCCCCGCGCCTGCCCAGCCCTCTGGCACTGCGGTCTGGCACGGCTGCGCCCTGCTCCCATTCCTCCCTGGGAGAGGGCTCAGCCGGAAAACCCCTGCCCTTTGCTCAGGCGAGACTGGCCCGCGGAGCCCCGTGGGGAGTGGGCGTCTGCCCTGCTCAGCTCTCCAGTGGGCCCTGCTATTCTGGATCACTCTCATCTGCCCCTTCCCTTTGCCCCCTGCAGGTGGCTGCTCTGCTGGCCGGGAGCTGCTTTACTAACCCTGGCTGGTACCTGGCGCCACGCTTGCTGCAGCCGATGGCTGCTGTGCACCCGCAGTGCCTGCAGCAGCTGGATCCAACAGGAGAGTGGGTGCTCAGCATGCTTGGGGTCCCCCAAACAGCTCCCAGCGGGCCCCTCTCTCAACCAGCTGTCTGAGCAGTCTCCAAGCATCAGGCTGAGCTTGTGCTGTCTGACTCTGAGCTGGCAGGACTCTCCACCAAGCAGAGATGGGGGGCACGGGGCGGGCCCAGCCAGGAGCACCCGGGGCAGCTGAGGGCAAGCTGGGGGGAGCTGTCCTTTGTATCACAAGGAGTGAGCAGCGGAGCAGGAGCTGAGTCAATTTCCCGAGTTCTCAGCGCGGGCTATGGGGCAGGCTCACGGGGTGGGCAGGAGGGCCACTGCCAGGGCTGTGGGGGGACAGCTGGCTATAGGGGCTGAGGGATA